CTTCGCCCAAAAGATCCAATGTGTTCACTTTGCTGTCAAAGTTCTTCATTAATGGAAAAAAGAAATATCCAGCCACACTAGCAAACTTGTTAGCAACAGGTTTGGGTTGAGGGTGTGATGGCCCCTTGGTAAATCTCTTTGTTTTACCATCAATTCTCTCCTGTACAATCTTCTGCCACTCAGGTATGGCTTGCAAAGATTTATAAGATTCTGCTTGTGGGAGTGGAAACCTTCTTGGTACTTCTTTTGTTTTTGTTATTTCCACTGGTGTTGAAAGCCTCTGTGCTGCATCAGCAAGAACACTTAACATGTCCATCCTCTGCTGTAAATTGTAATTTGGAGCAAAAAATTCCTCAGTCAAGTAACAAGCAATCTGTTCAGGACACCTAATAAGCACAGCAACTATTGCACTGTGACGTAGTTCACCAAACATATCAGTGGAATATTGGTCCTGAAGATGAAGTAGAACTTTCACTAATTCTTCACAGACATCCTCCAGGTCATCCATTTCAGCACAAACAAGTTTCTCCACATTTTTCAATGATGCTTCCGTTTTTGATGGGTCTTCTGATGCTAAAAGGCCTTCGATACAATCTCGCAAATACTTTGGAGCCTCAGATTTCAAATCCCTGTCATCTTCTTCTCTGAGATCATACGGCACCAAATCATCATCATCTTCACAACTCTGAGGAGAGTTTTTCTCAGTAGAGACTTTTGCAGAGGAACTCTCTTCAGTTGTCAGTTTATCATTGCCTTTGCTTTCAACATTAAGCTCATTTCTCTTTCCTGCATTTCTCAAATCCATCCTCTCCTGTGGACCTTTAGATAGTGATTTCAATAGTTTAGTATCATCATCTTCCACATATCCAAAGGCAAGTTTCTCTCCATTAGGTTCAAGGGAAGATGTAACACATTCCCCAACCACCATGCCAAGATGTTGCACTTTTTCCAAAGGGCTCTCTAAATGACTCTGCACACCAACTAACAACTTGTTTAGCAGTTCATGTTTTTCAGATTTCCTTTCTTCAATGTTCAAATGACCAAATGAGAGAACTATTGCACACGTGACATAAAAATGCTGGTCATATGTTGTGTGCTTAATTGCGCTTCTATCGCCCCAGATGTCAAAAAGAGTGTGTAACACTTCCACCAGCAAATGCCTGTGCTTACACCCAGATAAATATCCCATGATGTTGTAAAGAACATTCATATTGGAATAGCTTCTCATCAGTAGAAACTTGGATGTCAGCAAATACTTGAGTTTAGAGTTGGTGAGCACTGAATCACCAAAAAGCTTAGAAATTAGGGAGGGGTCATCTGCTATCTTTAGCAGGCCTTCGCTAACATGTTCCATGCTACTGTCTGGTATCCCTGTAATAAGTCGTGCACAGATCCTATTCCAAAGTGGACTCTTCTTCAGCCAATTTTCTAATGCTGGTAAAAGTATAGTAAACATTCTCTCTGCTTGCCCAGCCAGGCAAATCCGACCAATCAATTCACCAAGGAACTTGAAGGAGCAATCCTGTGACATTGTTAGGTTGTCATGTAACTTCTCCAATGCTTTGAGAATTTGACATGAAACAAGGTTGAAATAAGACGCCGGGTAGAACTGTGAACTACACTTAAATCTTAGTTTGTTTGCCACTCTCTGAGGGAGAGAAACTATCAAAGTCACGAGCTGTCCCCAAAGTTTACCTTCAAGCCCTGCTGAACTGGATTTACGTGAGCCATTTTGGGAATGCGTGGATAAACGACATTGTTCCACAAGCACATCAACCAATCTTTCTTCAGCAAAGAACTTCTCTAGTAAAGATACTATCACCTTAGCATTTTTCAAATTGGTCGCCGGTTTGGAGAGTGCGTCTCCCAGAACAAGAAGACAATCGTGTGATGGACCACGAAGGAAAAACACTTCAAAAAAATTTGTTCTCTGCTGCTCATTGAAGTTACTATAGAATCCAATTACTGGCGAAGATAGAATAAATTCAGTGAACCTCACAAAGTGATTGCTTACAAATTCACCCTTCAGAACAGGACGATTTTCGAGTGAAACTTGAGAGGGGAGCAGAGATCCTCGCAGAAATAGTTCCACCATGTCATTTAATGTTTCAATCACATCGCTCGAGCTAGAGGCATTTGCCAGCCTATTCTGACATTCGCGAACAAATCGACGAACCTCACTTGCCAGATCTCGATCCATGTACTGCTCTATTGTATTCAGTTGACTCTGTCAAGGAAAATGTGGTCTTCGTCCGCCATATTAAATTTGTAATTCGCAAAGCAAGGTGGGAAGAGCTCCAAAGGACACCCCCTCCCCCCACATATCCACTCGTGCTTGGGGTGTGGTAGAGGTATTTCTGATTTCACCCATAGTGCATATAAATCAATCAATAACACGGTAAATAAATAAGCCAAAAAGCATGAGTCAAAACCTCAGATTCTCTTGCTGATAAATTTCTCTTACCTCTACGTCAACTCTGTAAGGCCCATACTACAAGCACTTACGTTTACTTTTGTGTTTAACGTAGTAAGATGTCCTTACCAAGTCCATGGTTCCCAAAGAATGAATATGAATATATTTTTTTGATGGGGAAGGGGGGGATAACATTATATAGAGACCTTACTTAGCCCTTAGGTCCCTACTTGTTCACCTTATTTAAATGTAAAGTTCACTTTATTTAAAGTTACTTGTTCACTTTTATTTATTATTTATTTCTTTTCTTTATTCTTGTTCTTTATAAAAAAAAAAAAAAAGAGAAGTGAGATAGTTTGCCCTGCAAATAGCTGGAAAGCTAATCATGGCAGGGCAAGACAAGTACATGAATTATACAAATTATCTAATATCTAAGGACAAGGAGTCACTTACTCTTAAATGATAACACAGAAAAAGAAAAGCAGACATTTTAACCCTTAGCTAGTGTATCTATGTACCAACTTTTTTAACAATCATGGGGATTTGAATATAGTTATCCTCTTTTTCTAAGATATTAAATAGCAATTTGCGTATAATTCTTTTGAAAGCTTTCTTTGGAAGATCTGTTATACAGCTTGGTATCTTATTCCACAGCTTTATTAGATGACCCTAATCAGCTCCAAATTAGTCCAAATTATCAAGAGGCAGAGCTTCCAGTTGCTTTCTTTTTTCCTAATTCTTTTTGGTGGGGAAAAATTGTATGTTTTCACAGAGTAGTCAATATTTTTTGGGATAATCATGTGGCAAGATTATCCAAGCTACAGAAGCCCTGGACAGGACTTCTTAAAGTGAAAATAAATGAAACTTCATTAAGCGACATAATGTAAAGATGCTAAATTCTCCCTGAATCTCTCTGAGTTTTAAAGGCATCAAAAGTACTTTGCTTACAAATTTGTAAGAACAAACTACATTTGAAAGGCATGCCACTGAACCTGCACAACTTCAAAGGATGTTTTTATAAAACCTTTATTTAGAAACACACTTGTTACTATAAAAATCACCAAAATTTTGATGCACAGAAACAAAGTTGACATTTAATAATCAAAACAAGTTCTTATAATGTATATTGCAAACTTCAAAAATTATTCTATAATAATCATTATAAATACATCTAAATCTATTTTTAGACTTATCAAAAACCATGACCAATTTTATGTACTGTTCTTTCAATAAAAATTCCATATATTATGTTGTAACCTGGGTATATTTATCATCTTGCATGCTCATGCTGATAACAATATTATAAAACTTTTAGAAGAAATGGCAGTCAATCATTTCTTGTTTTGTCCACTGTTTTGAAATGTTAACCCTTTAACTCCCATGAGTGACCAAGACTGAATTTCTCCTTACTATTTCAAACCAACATCAAGCAGACAAGTGATGAGAATAAAGAAAGATATCAATTAGGGGATTATCAGTTGATCCAATACCAAATTCTCCAAAATAACACCAAAAGAATTATATGGCAGACAGTAAGGAGAATTGCTAATGAGATCTTGGGAGTTAAAGGGTTAAACATCTTAAGCACAGGAGACCCAATGAGAACATGTGTGGTCTTGGAACAAACAAGCCTACTCTTTCATCAAAAGGGTCACAGTTACCTATATTGGTTGTTTAACTCTTTACACCCTAACATCACTATGCATATTCTCCATACTGTTCTCCATACATTTTCAAAGAGGCTGACAAGGAGAATTTGTTCAACAATCAAGAGCTGCTTTAGTTGGTGATCATCTTCTCTATTCTCATGACTTCCATGTTTGATTCAGGGGTGATATTGTAAGGAGATATTAGATGCTAGTCACTCTTAGGGGCTTAAGGGTGAAAAGTTTGAAGTGTATATGAACAGTGACATAAACCCTGCATGCATCTCCTACTGATGAGTATCAATTTGGTTCCAATTTTCAAATTAAAAAATATCACCAACTTCAAAAAAAACATACTCTACATTGATTATTGAACATGAAAACCCCAGTGACAATGCTCTAAAAATTAACTCCAATTTGAACACTAGTAGACTGTTGAAGAATATTTTACATTACTCGAAGAAAACAAGAAAATTAACTGACATTAAAAAATAAAAGTTATTAATTTCTACCACACTTGTGTTTTGCTTTTAAACATTTCAGTTTTTAACACTATCCATACATGTACCTGCTATATTACTGTCTGGTAAAAGTTACCCCATCATTCAAACTCAGTTAGCTGAATATAACCAAACTCTACTGAATCAACATTTTCCTATGAGGTTCTTGTTTTTCCTTTAAAATTCCATGATCAGTGAACACAAAAACACATCCCTTATGTGTTGGGAATTTTCAAATTTATGCACAATAACCCAAATAGTTTATGATTTCTCTATTACTAAACAGGTAAGTCAAAATCATATGCTGTATGATCAAGGATTGAAACAGATCTGGTTTAACTACTTACAGTTCTGTTTGACTGGTTAGATAAAATGAACCAAAGAAAACTATGTGTTTAATTTTGTCCTATCATTAAATGCAATCACACGCTTTAGATATGATTGAGTTTGACTCACTCCCTAGGTTTTTTTTATTTTCAGTGCATCTATCCTAACAGTACGTGATATAATTGCTTGAGGTCACACAAAACGTCTGCACAGAGAAAAGGTTTCACAGCGATCATTTCTTTGGGAAACGATCTCTGTCAAACCATCAGCAACTTCAAGGATGCCTACCTACAGTTGTCGAGAAAAAGAAATACGCACCTTGGAATCCAAAATATAACAAAACTGAGAGTAATTCGAACAACAATCATGATGCAGCAAAGTTTTTGGAGTGTTTTCTGTACATCATTGATGGTTTCACTCTGTTAGGCTCGCCCAGGCGGTACTTCCTCATGTCCTTCTGTTTCTGATAACAGGCATATGGACAAAGCATATCTACAAACACCTCTCTAAACTCCTTACTCCAATAACCCAGCAACAGGGCAAATGATGCAGGGAAGCAATAAGTCATGATCTCTGTCAAACCATCGGCAACTTCGTGGATGCCTGCCGCGTTGCTGTTGTCAAGAAGAAGAAATACGCACCTTGGAATCCAAAATATAACAAAACTGAGAGTAATTCGAACGACAATCTTGGACCAGGTTGTTTCTTTGGTGATCGATGGAAAATCAGCATAGTCCAAGTTTTTGATCTGTCTACCACAGACATCCACTGTGTGAGTATGGCTTACAGCTGTTTTCATAACTTGCCACTGCAAAATCAACATGAAGACCACAGGAGTCAGAACTTCAATGCCGACGAACGCATAAACGTAACCTATGGTGTAGGTTGTACTCAACTTGCAGTTCAACGATTTTCCGACATCGTCGTCGAAATTGGCAAACATAAACGACACCAGCACGGCAATGCTCCAACAAAGAACGATTAGGCAAAACGTACGGCCACTGGTCAAGCATTTCTGATACCACTTGTACCGGGAGATTGAGAAGTACCGATCCAAGCTCAGTGCTGCCAGCGTGTAGACAGTCACGGTACAAAACAGCACAAAAAAGCTGCCATATGTCTCACACAATCCTGGTTTATTCAGCCATGTGTTTTTGTCCACAAAGCTCAGGACTCGAAGTGGCATTACCACACCAGCCATGAGCAAATTTGCGCAGGAGAGGCTCGTGATGTAAAGATGAGTGCGGAAACGAAGGATCTTGCTTTTGAAGATGGCGGCCAGGATCAGAAGATTACCACAAGCCGTAAACAAAATCAAAATTGCGAACGCAATAGCGTTGATCATGTCTCCTGCATTCATAACTGAATTTCGTAGCTCCTCTCCATTACTGGCTGTTGACTCCACCATATCTTTAGTAGAAGACATAATTGTCGATGAAACAGTTCCTGCGAGTGGTGCCATGAAGATTGTCGCCCTTTAGTCAAGACAGCTGTTTACAGTCGATTCATTCTGCTTGCATTGTGAGTATGATCATCGACTGAGATGTCTTTTAAATATCGCCAAGGGATTCTAGACGAAACGAATAAGACTGGGCAACTTTTTTAACGTAACAAACGGACTACTATGTAACTTTATAAGTAAGAAAGTAAGCTGAGTTCAGTCTTTAACCTCCCACTTTCTACTAGAAATCTGATAAAAAATATGTGACGCTTCGTGGAATTGATATGCATCCCGCATTTCCATAGTTACTGCGCCGTGAATGGTTCAAGATAAATGATGGTTCTTTGTTCTTGTGCATTCATTCGTAACAAAAGCTAATTATTAACTCTCTTATGGAGGGTGCTTGACTTTATTGATGTGGTGTTTGAGTTGTATTCGAGCGATTAAAACCAACTTACCTCCTTCAAAAACTTCGCAGCTTTTGGGCATGTCACACAACACGCTTCCCTGACAACATGCTACGTGACAAACCCTTCACCGCGGATTAAAACTATGTGTGGTCTAACATCTGGTCTCCAAATTGTCGTCTTTCTCTGTCTCCGTGGACTGTCCTTTCTGTCATATCTTCAGTTATTTGTGAGTATTATTGAAAAAAAAAAAGAAAAGAAAATGATTAAGTTGTAGCTGAGGTAAGGAATTTGTAGATACGTAAATGTTTTTTTGAGACATTTTGGCGGGAAGCAATCCCAGATCCTCGCATGAACTTGCATTTTATCGAATAAAGGGGTAAGTTTCTGAAGAAACTGTGGTGCTGCGTCGGTGGGAGAGTATAGCAGGTAATTTAGTGTTAACAGCTGAGTTCAAAACGTAAATTAGCCACCGTAAAGGGTAAAAAAGCTGACGTTTCGAGCGTTAGCCCTTCGTCAGAGCGATTGGAGGAATTGTGGGTTGTGTTTGGGTTTATATGCAGAAAGTGGAGCTACCCCATTGGTGGGAATACGGTGACGAGAACTTATAAATTAGTTGAATGAAAAGCGCTCGTTGATTCCGTGGGGATTAAGGATGCCGGTTTGGAAGATAAATTTTTGTTCTAGTGTTTTCCGAACTGCCTAGATGTAAGGAAAGGCCGCAGACTGCCATATGCTGTTTAGAACGATTAGGAAGATTAAAGTGTCTGGCGACTGGTTAGGATGCGTCCTTGTCATTTCTTTCCACGTCGCGAAGGTGTTCTCGGAATCGGTCACCTAGTCGTCTTCCTGTTTCGCTGATGTATAACTTATTGCAAGAAGTGCAAGTTATGCAATAAATAACGTTGGCGGAGGTACACGTAAAGTGATAAGTGATCTTAATGGATTTCTTTGGTCCCGATATTTTCTCTACGTTATGAATGAAAGAACAAGTTTTGCATCGTGGGCGAGTGCATTTGAAAGTTCCAGGTTGGTCATTGGTTTGAAATGAACTCCTGACTAAAAAGTTGCCTATGTTTTTGTCACGTTTGAATGAAATAAGTGGGGGTTGCGAAAAGATAGTGACAGTCTCTGAATCGTTTTGGAGTAATTTAAAATTTTTAAGAATGATAGATTTAACTGCGTGGTTGTGAGGATGAAATGTAAGAGTAAATGGAATGCGGTCAGTGTTTTCCTTCTCAGCCGTTCGTAATGCTGACCGTCGATCAATTTGTTGGGCACCGCTTGAACAACAGAAACAGGATAGCCACGTTTATCGAAAAACTGGCACACTGCCTCTGATTTTTCGGAAAAATCAGAGCCGTCAATACATAAACGACGAAGTCTGAGAAACTGTGAAAAACGGTATGGAGTTCTTGACGTGTGATGGATGTGAAGATGAATGCAACAAGTAACTACGTGAATCTGTAGGTTTATAGTAAACACTAGTGCATAAACCGTTGCCTTCAATTCAAATTTTGATGTCTAGAAAAGCCAAAGAAGTGTCGGAAATTTCCCAGGTATATTTAAGAGCCGGATGAAAGGAATTGACGGTTATAAATTGAGTTATAAATTGAGGAATTTCACCCTCAAAGATTAGTCTACAAAAGTTCACCTGGAATCACGTTTAAACGACAAGAAAGATGCGGTAAGTAAATTCAAACAAGTTATTCAAGGTTATGAGAATTTTCCCCCGGCCGATTGGCAATGAAATGGCGTGTAATCTTGTTTGCTTCTGTTGTTTGTTTGTTTGTTGTTTTCCCTTGCCTTACAAATGGTTACTTCGATGAGTTTGATTTCAGGGGAATTTCCGGTCTTATGTTTGCTAGGCATGCGGTAATGTTCATATCCTTCCTTGAATCACTGCGATTCCATTAATTTCTTTGGTGATGTTCAAAGACTGACTGAAAATTACTTTAAAATATCATCAAACTTCCCAAACATTATATATCAGTAAATATAGTTGTAAATAAGTTAAGTGGTTGGAAGTGAATCATTTCGTCATACATGTTTAAATGTTTAGGAAAAGAATTAAGGATTTAAATTGTTGAGACCGTCATAGAAGTGCTACCAAGAAGGAAAGGTCCTATGATTTCATACATTGTGTAGCCAAGCTGTGGAAGGGCAATCCCTAGCGCAGGCAACATCCTCCTACGACTGAGAAAACTTCAGTTCCTTCCAAAAAAAAAGCTGCGCTGCATATGTGCACAACGTAAATGAATGACGTTAACTACCGCTCCAAATGGCACAAGACCAAGTCTGATTTCAACCCAATGCTAATTTTACACTGAAAACTGAGAAGCTATCACCCTCTTTCCTTTAGTAATAAGGGAAATATGGAGGACACTGTTCGTGTTTGCATACACCCATTTAAAATATCAGTTTCTCGATCGCGCCATGACATCGTTAAAAGGAACAATCATGTGTTGTACGTAAAATTTAAGAGAATGGAATTTGTATAATGAGGTCTGTTATGGCCTCTCAAAATTCAGAAGCAGCTTTCACTCATCGGTAGTAACTCTTTGTGGTAATACAGCGCATTTCCGAATAAGAAAAAAACCCATCTTTTTTTTTATTGCAACTCAATAAGAAATTGTTACGAGAAAATCAAACAAACACTTTTTTTGGTTACATCAGTGATAGGTTCATCCAGTAAAATTTGTCAAAATTAAGCCCAAAATTCATTTTTTATTTGACAAAGTGTAAAAGTTTCCCGGTAGTTGCGTCTTGAAATATGGTCAATTTGAAGGATTAGTTTGGATTGTACTGAATTAAAATTTTCATTAATTTCTTCTTCAAATTTGCCTTCTCGTGCTTTTAGGACTATCATTCTCCCACATGACGAATTTTACGTTCCGTTCGCTATCTTTAGACGAAACTTTTGTAAAAATAAGCTCTCGCGGACCTTGCAAAATCTTCTTTAAAACAGCGCCATCAAAAACACAGCGAATGCATTGAGAACAAACTTTCCCATGGCAGAGGCAGTGCAAGCATCTCTAATTATACCACTGTCTCTTTTTCAAACTGGACTTCCATAAGCTTTGGATAATAATCGTTCCAGAACGACATCCGGCGAGGAGCAAATGAAGTCGTCATCTCGGATTTTTTATCCACCCGGAGATAGGCCCTGTGACTGGAGTTGTACCTCTCAAACGTAACACCGCTGACTGGCTGGGGCGTTGGATTTCCGAGCTTGGCAAAGTTTGTGTGCAATGTCATGATAAACAAACTGACGTCTTTGTCCGACTGGTCCGGAAACAAATTCGCAAAACGAGGCATAAACGGGTTTCCAAAATCGAAGCCGACATTATCGCCATGTCTTACCCCGTGCCACACCTTGTGAAAGGGGCGTATTCTTTGCTGATAATCAAACATGTACATATAAACATCGGCATAGTTGCTGTGAATGTCGGCAACTGCGTGACTTGGGGCGTAGTAGAAATAGTCACCGATGAGGTCAACAAGCTGGGTTCTTAGTGCGTACTTATCACTTCTGTCGGGCCATGGGGTATACATAAACTGCAATGCATCCCTTATAAGGTCGCCCTTCTGCTCTCTGAGGGAACGAAAGATGTCAATTATTTTCAGTGCCAGTAAAAGCTTATTGAAATCCGAAATGGCTATTCTTTATCTAACTTTAGCGGCATTTACACGAGCTAGTTTTCCTTGGCACGTGCACAATTCGCTTCGACGAAAGGCTAACACTCGAGCTACAAACAATATCGATTCAGTTGATAAAATCAAGTTATCTTGTAACATCTCACCGACGCTGCATCACAGTTTTTTTTAGAAACTTACCCTCTTTATTCCAGGAAAGATTGCTTGCTAAATATATTTTAAAAAAATGAAAACTAGACAAAGATACTCTCCGCTGCTTCAGCAAAAACTCTCTCGTAAATATCCGCTGAATACAACAAGCGCAGGTACACATCGAAAGGGCGTTCATGTACATGCACGCATTGCTTTCGCAGGAGAGAGGTCAAAAGTTGCTTGACGAGGAAAGGTTATTGAAGCAGATTTATCTTGTCAAAGCCATTAAAGTTTCATGCCGTGTATAATCATGAAACCTTACCTACCATAGAAAAAACACCTTGTAGAAGATTTATCTTCGTTCAAAAGCTCTAAGAAAAAAATTGTGACACCTTTCCACACTTGCGATTTTACTTCAGGAATTTGTCTAAGTCTGTAAGCTCTCATGAAAAAAATAATGGCAGTTATAGCAGATAGCTAAACTTACCTGATATTTCGCGCATACGCGAACTTTGTTAGAAATTCCCTAAAGAAAGATGGACTCACTCCGTTGTCTACACTTTCCACCATCCCATAAGACCGATTTGCAATAAATGCCATGTCAGCTCCACCCTCCCCACTGGTAAAAACAATCATTAACTTGGCTTTCTTAAACTCTCCTTTATTTCGAAGACTTCGGGGGGTGTCATGAAGAAAGTTTTTATCCACAACTGGGGCCCAGCGCCGATAATCCTGAAATTTAAACGGTATTTTATTGGAGGCGTCTTGTATCTCTTTTGCCTCTTTCTGACGAATGCAGGCCATCATTTTGCTGTGGTCGCTCGTTGGACAATTCAGGTTTTCAGCAAGCTTATTGGCAAAGTGGAGACCAAAGGAAGTCGGCTGAATTGCAAAGGGACTCAAATCCACTCCGCTCTCTGCAATGGCTTGTTGGAAGAGGCCGTTAGAAACTGGGGACAATAGATGGAGGCTGACACTTGTTCCACCAGCGCTAAATCCAAAGATAGTCACCTTACCGGAGTCCCCGCCAAAATTTTTTATGTTTCCTTTGACCCACTGAAGTGCCGCCACTTGATCCAACATTCCATAATTCCCAGGGGCAGTGGAATCCCCGGTCGTCAAAAAGCCAAATGCACCGAGACGGTATTGGATTACAACTACTACCACGCCGTGCAAAGCTAAATAATCGCCGCGATATGTTATTGCACTTCCATATTGATAAGCTCCTCCATGAATGTAAACCATCACGGGTAGAAGCTGGCTTACGTTCGGGGTGTAGACATCGAGATATAAACAATCTTCGTCGTACGAAAAATTTTGAGTAAACATCCGCACATAAAATTCAGAGATCTTATTTTGGATGCAAATATTGCCGTGCTGTTTAGCTTGACGAACATTTGGTTTCCATGAAGCTGGCTCTTTAGGTGGTTTCATTCTTAGGTCCCCAACTGGTGGAGCGGCGAAAGGTATTCCAAGGAATTTGCTAACTGACTTGTATATGAAAGAAGAATTCGGGTACGATTCCTCAAGCCCTTCCACCTCTCCATAGCTTGTGGATACCCTTATGGGTGTGACTAATGGCAGCAAAACGCAGAAAAGTGATAATAGTAGTGACAGCTTTTTGGAAATCATTGTGCCTTAGTTTGAGTGAGCCACTTTTCCTTCGGCTTCAATCGAATTCTCTTCACTCGATGGAACCTGACGTGGGTTGCTGGTTCACAGTGAATGTTTGACGATATCAGTGTCATCTGATAACGTAGTAATATTGCAATAGTTTGAAACAGCTAGTATTTAAAATTATCTATGACGTCAATTAATGTCTTTATTTTCGTGTAGCTTTCTGGAAACTGAAGCTTAATCCAAAAGGAATCGAAGCCCAGGGCGAATTTAACTGAGAAACTTTGTTTTTCAAGCACTGCAAAGTTCTACAGATCTGAAAGGATGGATGTCTTTTCAAGGGCTTCTCCTGATATTTTAATTTTGCACACTGATCATGTTGTGAATATTTGCGTGATACGGCCATATCAATATCTCTCATGGTGCGGTCTGAGCCTTTAAAGCCAATCAAATGTCTGTCTCTGTCTCCGTGCACTGTCCTTTCTGTCATATTTTCAGTTATTTATAAGTATTATTAAAAAAAGAAAAGAAAAAGAAAAAATGAAAACACCTAAGTTGTAGCTAAGGTAAGGAATTTGTAGATGCGTGAATATTTTCTGATACATTTTGGCGGGAAGCAATCCCAGATCCTCGAATGAACTCGCTGTTTATTAGCCAACCAATAAATGAATGTAAATTAAATTAAATGAATGTCTTTATTTTCGTGTAGCTTTCTGGAAACTGAAGCTTAATCCAAAAGGAATCAAAGCCCAGGGCGAATTTAACTAAGAAAGTTTGTTTTTTAAGCACTGTAAAATTTTACAGATCTGTAGGGATGGATGTCTTTTAAAGGGCTTTCCCTGATATTTTAAATTTACACACTGATCATGTTGTGAATATTTGCGTGATACGGCCATATCGGTACCTCTCATGGTGCGGTCTAAGCCTTGAAAAGCCAATTACATGTCGCTTATTGAGCGGAAAACGACAACTGTGTCATGCCTGTCACATGTTTTGACATATAACCGTGACAAGCCATTATTGACTCTAACCTTTTTAGCTGTCTCGAAGTTTCCCGCAACAAGTAGTGAGGGTATAAGAATTGAGGCAGGCATTTGCAAGATCATCCGGATAGAAGGTAAATACGATTTGGGTAAAATCTCGTCTACACAAAGAATAAAACAGGTGCTTTCAGAATCGCCTCAACCTTTTTATCATGAAGGCGTTCAGGAGCATCTTAAAGACACCCAATAGTAAATAAATGCTCTGATAGCGACAAATATGAAGGATATGAGCACTTGATAGCCAAAGATGATGAAGTTTGTGTCGTCTCTCTATTCTTTCGGAGTTTTTTTTCGTTAAAAACGTGAGCCATACATCAGGTAAAACTATCATGGCAATGAAAAAATGAGAAAAAGTCATACATATTCAGAGGAGATATCGTTTGCGCAAGATACATGTGGAGACGGAAAAGCTTAAGATTTGCGGAGATAACACAAGAATTATGTCACAGGATTTTAGAAGGACATAAATTGAAAAATCCCGTCAACTCCGCAGCAATAAAGATGTGATAATCAGTAGCGTAATTTGAAATAGATGAGTACGAAGGGTTTTATTTCAACTTGATAAGATACTGAGAGTATTCCTTTCCCAGCTTTCAAAACAATACATGAAGATAATTCGTAACAGTCTAGTTTTTAATGAAAAGTAGAAAAACAACCAACTTGTAAATCGTTAATCTAGTTACGCACAGGATTCTTGATTATCAGATTCTGGTCCAGCTTTCGAACTAAATGTTAAATTTACAAAGAAAATCGCCAAAATGTACAACGAACTACAACCGAGACGAGGACATACCCTTGGAAACTGACCAATGGTCCAACGCACCTTGAGTGAAGAGAAACAAACAAGTAGATCTGAAAATCGCACAAGGGTATGATCCATTCCTGAAGTAGTCCCAGTAAACCTTGAAAGTCACTCCTCCAATCGCACGGTCCTCGTCTGATATTTCAAGTTTCTTTGTTTGATTTTTATAGGCATCACTCTATCTTCATCTGATTGATCTTCATTCTCTGAAACAGATCTCAGTTCTGACTTGCTGCCCATGTAAGAGTGTTCAAACTTGAATCAAGAATTGCGCTTACAATCCCCTTTTTCTGAAGCTCAGAAAAACTTCTTTCCTCCAACATACTACCTTTGCACAGCACAAATGACTTTATTAGCCCCATGGAAGTGTTCTTTTTGGTGGGACACCAGCAATCGCGTTTTTTTTGCTCAAAAAGCCCTTTATACATATCTTTTTGCAAAGATACGTTGAACAACTTTCTTGTCCATGGCACTTAGCAAGGTTAAGTTTACTGATCGTTACCCCCACTGGTACACACGTAGGGTCAAAGAGGCTATCCATATAAGACTTCATCCCAACAACATCAATAGGGATAGCGGAATCGACTTTCCCGAAGCTTGGATGCCCACAGTCAAACAACACAACAGCCGATTTATGAGGACCTATGAGGGAACACCATCTAACGACCGGAATAATAATGAGGATTGAAATGCATCAGTAACAGCGTACCAACGTACTACAAATAGCGACACGAAAACAATCGACCTCATCGCCTGGTGAAGACTAGCAGTATTGCAGTCGAAACGTCGCAATCTACATCATAAATGACTATCATGAGACAAACGAACAAAGTTCATCTCCTATCTTATACCACGATGAACAATAAGCACATATTACATTATATAATTACCGTATTTATTCGCCTATAAGCCGAGCGATTTTTCCAACAAATTAAACTGAGAACAGGTAAATTCTCGCCAAGGTAGGGGGTTCGGCTTATAGCCGAGTATTTTCGCCAAAAAAAATTTAAGGGTGCTTAACAAGATTCGAAATTTGACAACATGAAAAACTGGCCAATCAGAAGCGGTCATTCCCACGGTTTGTGTAAACATTGCAACACGATCTGACAGATATCAGCTGATCGAAGCTTCTCATTGTTTTAAAGAAACTAAAGACTTACCTTGACTCCTCTGCTCTGAAAACCAGTCCAGTATTGTTTGATCCAATTCAGGATACTTTGGCGAAAAGCAGCCCATCGTCTTTCGCTTTGCTGACATTTTAAGCTCACCATTAAACAGGTTCGCTTGATCTTTTCGCCAGCGACGCACCATCGATTCACTGATTCCGTAATCTCTAGCGATCTAGAATGATCTATGTTTATTGATAACCTACTTTTTGGTTGCATGTTTTCCGAGAGGGAAGCTCCTTTTGTTTTCGGTTTATGTTAATTCATCTCAGTTAACGACACGCGTGGAGTACTTTGCAATTATTAGGTCTCGGCTTATAGCCGAATGTTTTGTGTTTATTTTTTATTTCAATGCAACAGCTGCTGACATGAAAAAGTTTAGGGTCTCGGCTTATAGCCGAGATCGGCTTATAGGCGAATAAATACGGTATTACATTGTTGCAATCATGATTTGAAGCATGGCTGAAGCCATTACAAAAATCCAATAAGGTACTTTCTCCATCCACTGAACATCATTTGACAAGTCGTCAATTACACGCCTTGCTTAAAAAGAAAAAAATGGGGTTAATTGGAGATAAAGATGATTAATGTATACCACACCCCATATATAAGAGCCCACTTATAGACAAGGCATGCAGAGCAGCTGACTTCTTCTTAGCCAAGTGCTAAGAAGAGAATATTGCGCCCTTACACCCTACCCTACCCTACCCTACCCTGACCCGTCCCAAGTCCTATTCAGTGTGGGGGCAAATAATACAACAAGGATTGGGGCGCGAAGCGCAATGGAAAGGGAAACAGCGAGAGAGCTCTTCCTCTTTCCATCATCTTTTCTTCTCCACTTTGGCGCCGCGTAGATTTGGACAGCTACGCCAACTGTGCTCACTTTTTTGCACACGAGGCCTTTTTACTGTTGCTCAACCTTTAATTCAGCTACCAAGCTTTCGACTTTGCCGATCCTAGCAGTATGCAGAATGCTTTTTACAAATGAACCTGACAACCTAATTTACTGTACAGTATAGGAACGGATTATTCTAGGTTTGACGTCCGACTTCTCGCAGGAGTCTCAGAGTTTCCATAGTACTAAGGACGGATATTATCTTTCTTTCGTTTCAATTATTTTCAAATTTCAACGTTAATATAATCCTTGAGGACTTAGATTAATTATCCTCTGACCTGGGTGCTTGACAAAATGCAAACACTTTTCTTTACTCTTTAGCCGAGCTAATAATTTTCCCTACACATAATTCTTGGGCCCGATCCAGACGCCTTACTTTTCATGAGGGGAACCTAATACATTGAATAAGCACAGTCGGTATGGTGAAACAACAACTTTATTTGTACACAACAGCCAAAGTAAAATTACAGCAATTTTACAGAGAAAACAGGCTGCCCTTAATAACCATAACGGGCTAAGAAAATAAGGCAGCCACACTTAGGTGATTAATTCATGGATATTAGGGTCAGGTACAACTTATACACACACCTCCACAAAACACAAAAAGCAGAAAAAAAAACAACAACAAAAACAAAAAAGCAAGAGAAACAACACCAACGAGACAACTGAGGATGCTTGTAATATACAACGGAAAGCCAGAAAAAATATAGAGTTGATCTCATCACTTATGTTATTCTTAACTGTAGTTCGCTGGAACCTTCCTTTGGATATTCCATAATTTGTTGTGGCTTTTGGGATAGCATAAGTCATTTTACAGGGGAACATAGTGTTAGAACTATCTGTGTTTCTAACAGGATCAAAAAAGGGATAAAAAACCAAGGATAAAAGTTGGTTGTGAAAATTACACATAAACACTGCAAGTTGAAGGGTTATTACATCGGACAGCTTCTCAACATTCAAGTCTTTAGATAAAGGACTTGACAGTTCAGTAAAGCTGGAGAAGGTAATTAGCCTTATAACTTTCGTCTGTAAATTAAGTAAAGGTTGCAAAGTTGATTGGTATGCGTTACCCCAAGCAATTGCACAATAATTTAAGTATCGGGCTCTACTTAACAAATA